CAGAATCCTTTTCAAAAACAGTATATCTGTAATATTCTTTAATGTTACTTTCAAAACTTCACCCAAAACTACATAATTTTTGTTTTGAATATGAAAGCTATTGATGTATAAATAGCATTTATTGATTACTCATATGACTGATATTCTTCGTCATTGTCAGATTTTTTGCTCTACTATCAATGACCTAAAATAATATTGCAGTCATATATAAGGGCAGAAGCTTAATTTTTGGTTGATAATTTAAAGCATTTTTTTCTATTGTTAAATCTTCTGAAACTATCACAATTTTGGAACAAACTTTTTAATCTATGATAATCTCAGATCTGATCCAATTTTTATGTGATTAACAGAAGGCAATTAGCCTTGCAATCTATTTCTGTTCGAGAATGTGCTCAAACCATTCAAAATTTTTATGATAATGTCATTTATTAATTTTTAAACTATAGGTTTCTCAAATCACTAAATAAAGTTCACCTCTGCATAAGATTGTAGTGTATCTTCTAAACTGAAAATCTTATAGATATTTAAAAGACTAATATTAGTTTAGAGTCTCTTGTCTAAGTCTCCCAGTCTGTGCCTGATAACATAGACTATTTGTTATTATAATAAGGGCTTTTACATCTATGAGAACCATATCATGTTTTTTAATAGAAAGCAAAATGAGTTTAATAATTATATTTCATATTGTACTTATAATATTAATATTTGTTTTCTTAATTTTTAATAATTTATGAATTAAGTCTCTAATGTTTGTTATTTTATATTTTCTTTTATAACTCTACAAAAAGTTTGTTATTAAAACATTTCTTGAACTTACCTGCTTCTCAAAATTATCTTGTAATATTCTAGTTTGTTTATTAACTTCCAATAATATTGTTTCATTTATTTTTTCTTTATCACCTTCAGATTTTAATGCATTTTTTAATTTAGTATCAGCAACAGTCTAATAAATTGAATTTTATGTATAATTAAAATTAAAAATATTAATGGTAATATAAGTAATATTCATATTCACCTGCATTTTTTCCAATTCTTTTTGTAAAAATGCAACTTTGCGATACATATGTAATATGAATAAATCAAATGTTTCATTGTTAACAGCTAAATTTTTATCTTTAAGATTAACATTAGGAATAAGAATTTTTAATTCATCTTGAAATTTTTCTCGAGCTGCTTTAACCCCTTTCCAATATTTTTCAGAAATATTTGCATTTGTAACTTCTTGATCAAACTTTTTTTTAGCATCATTTACATCAGATAATATATTATTAATATTTTTTCTTATAATAGTTTTTTGTCCTTCGGTTCCTACAAATTCAGTATCATTAATTGATACAAATAATTTTTTTAATGTCTCAATGGTTTCATCTGCTTTTTTTTCTGCTTCTGTTAAAGCTTTAGTTTTTTCAACTTGTGCAATTTTTAATCTATGAAAAATAATTGAAACTATTATTCACTTAATTAATTTAATTAAAAAATAGACATAAACAACTTTTTAAATATATTCTATTAAAACAAGTAATTACATAAAATATTCGTAAATTTAATATGAGTAAAAAATATTAACATTTCCTATTCATGTGTAAGGTTCTTTTTATTGAATTTAAAATTAATTTAATCCTTATTTTTATATTACATTTTAAAAATTTAATTAAAGTCTCTTATTTTTTTTAATACATTTTTGAATATTTCAAGCTGCTTAATTTTTATTTTTAGACTAGAAATGAGATTATAAATAAATAAAAAATTGTAAAATAATTAGACTATTTAAATATGAATTTAATATAAAATCATTTATATTTAATATTATTTACCTATTCCAAATCTGCTCTTCCACTAAAGAGCCAGAACTTTCCAAAACATTAATAATATTCTTATTATAATTTTGAACAGCACAAGCTGCTTTTTGAAATTCTGCAATGGCTTTGGAAGCAAGATCTCCAGCTTGTTTTTCTAATTCTAATAATTCACCTGTTAAACTTTCGTTTTGGTTTATTGATAATGTAGACTTTTGGGCAACTATAAGATAAAAGAATAATTATAATCACATTTGTTAAAAAAACTGTTATCTTAATATTATATTAATGAAAATAAGAGTTCTTTAATTTTCTTATGATTACATAATTAATGGATTACTTAAAAAAATAGTTTTTCTGTATTTTTATTAATTATAAAAAATACGTTTAATACAAATATTGATCAATAATAAAATAAAAGATTAAATAAAAGAGAAATATATATAAAAATTCTTTTTCAAAGTTAATCTTTCTTAAGCTTTAATCGTATTTTTTATAAAATTACTTTTGCGGTATTAGGGACACTAAATTATGAGCATCTTTCTATCTTATTTATATAAAATTGTGAAATCTTTAAAATATATTAAACAAAGAAATGAATAGAATAGGTTCAATAAATTAAAAACATTATCATTTTTTAAATCTTCAATTATAAAATGAAATATTAAAAAGTTTGTCCAACTTAAATATATTTATGTTATAATACATGTTTAAGTTTTGAAATAAAACGATTGAACATGATTTTGAACATGTTACTATAATACAACTTAAGTGTGAGTATTAAAGAATTGATTATAAAATTCTTCTCTCAAATAAACTTGCTTTATTTATATACATACCAATTTCAATTTTTTCTCCTTGGTTTTTATTTAATTGAATTTCTGACTTTGATTTTTCTTTAAGTGGAGATAATTGCAAAGTAGTTGAGTCAAAGGCAGGTCTTGGAGCTAAACATAGTAATTTTTATTAGCTCAATCTTAAATTATTAATGAAACTATAATTATATTTCTTATAAATGATGAATTACTAATTTGCAAACAATTAACTATTAATCTTTTGAAGACTATAATTTACAAGAATTTTTAATTTATATTAAAAGTTTAATATTTAATAAACAACACAATAGTTGTATTTATAATTGTTAAAAAAAATTAACAATTAATTTTTTAATTAATTTATATATATTGAATTTTTTAATATATTTTATATACATTAAATTTACATAAAATAAAGGAAAAATAACTGCTGATAACATACGTTTATAATTTTCAATATTTTTGCAATCCACTGTTGTTTTAATTTGACTTGTTTTTGTGATGTCTGGTGTAAACCAAATATTGTAAATTCTATAACAATGCATAAAATAAATAAATAAATAAATAAATAAATATATATATATATATATATATATATATAGTACATATGTAATTAAGTTCTGTTTTTATTATACTTACTTATTTTTTAAAAATTCATAAAAATTAAGAATATAATCCAAATAACTTGATTCTTCTTCAAACTTAATTTGTATAGCATGATATGTCCCTGGAATCCATTCCTCTAATTTTTTTCTAAATTCTGAATCATGTTTTGCATATAGTAATATTCCAAATGTCCCTAATGTTATAGTACTAAAACCCAATAAAGTTTTCATACTTCTTTTTGATTTTTCACTATCAATACAAATTGAAAAATGAATATATATTAATATAACCAATAATTTAAAACAAATTATAATTTTTGAAATAAATTAATTTGTAAGAAATATAATAGACACTATATTTAAATTATATTTGATGATTATTTCTAAATAAAAATATTGATATAATTTTAATTTATAAGAATTTAAAAATATATTTTTTGTTATAAATTACTACAAATCAGATACAAATAATAAATAATCATTTTTTAAAAATTATTAATTTTACCTTTTGGATGATTTAGTTGAATATCTATGTCCATATAATCTTGACAAAAACATAATATTCTTCAAAAAGCTAAAATAATATAATATATTTTTAATTTTTTCTGAATATAACTCCATTTTATTACATACTATTTATTTTTTCTTTACATTTATACTGCACAATTAAAAATAATTTATTTAGTCATATATTTGGGTTTATTTATATTACTGTATTAAAAATTACAAGATATCAATTTATAAATTCACTAAATTGATCAAAATGGTAAAAACATTACCTTGTAAATATTTCAAATCCTTATTCAAAGTTTAAAATATACTCACCTATCTTTATACAAAGTGATTGATTTTATTTTGTAACATCTTGCTGGAAAGTACATTTTTTCACAGCTTTGTCTTTTAATCTATAAAAAAAGATGTTATAAATAGTATACTTTTTATAAATTATATAATAAACATACCTTTTTTATAACTGAATTTTAAGATTCTAAAATGTGTTAGAAAAATGACTATTTTTTCTAAGATTTTATTTAAAAAAAAAAAAAAAAACGTAAATAATTACGTTTTTCTTATAAATAAAATGTACCACCACATTTCGAAAAATATTTAAAGTTAAAATACATACCCAATTAACATTATAACCATTTATAGGAAATTTTAATCCAGTTCTATACATCTTTTATGAGATGCTGCAAAGGAAAGGAGAAACAACGGTATACTGAACGCTGCGTTCTGTATTTCAATTTTTAACTTTCAATCTAAATAGCTGTCGTAACGCTAAGAACAAAACAGATATAGAGAAACAGAAAGTATGATACGTTTATTTAGCGTGTTAACAGGTAAATATAAATTCGTATTTAAAGAATTTGTGTAAATTTTTCTTCCTACAGTAATCAGATATGGTAAAACTGAATTTTATATAAAAGTATTCAAAATTATTATTTTTTTTTAATGTTTCTTGGTATATTTAAAGAACTTAAAGGTTAGATTCAATCAAAAACGTATCGAGCATGGTGAATACAATTAAACGAAGAAGCGATTAAATTCGATAATGTTTTGGCACATGTTTTCAAATATTATATTGATTCAAAAAGAGAAATATGTAATATCTGATTTGTTTATCATCAAAAGATGAGTGCATTAATTATATTATTTATTACCATCAATATTTATAATTATTCATTTTATTATTTTTAGAAAAAACAAGGACAATTATTTCTAGAAGTTCGTTTGATATTAATTATAGTAAATATAATCTCTTGAAACAAAATCAATATTTAACTTCATGGCAAAATAATTTAAGCATACGAAGCCTAAGTACTACTATATTAAGGTATTAAATTAATATGTTAATATTTTGAAATTTTATTATTGATGTAAAAACTTTCGTCAATTATAAATTAAAATTAAATAAAATTATATTTATTAAATATTTGTCAAATAAATGTAATTGTTTTTTTTTTTAATATATAGATCTGTTTAATTGTTAATATTTTAATTAGTTAAAATACTTTTGAATACTCCTTGATAAATAATTAATAAATTAAAATTATTTCAATAGAATAGATTGATATACAATATAAAAAATGTTTAATTCAAGTTAATTAATAAGGCATTGTATTTAAATAAGTATATGTATATATAATTACATTTATGTAATAATAATTCCTTATTTTATATTTTACTCTTTTAGTAATTCATTAAATAAACCACTATTAAAAACAGTATTGTGTCCTCCTGTATTATGTAGAACAGTTACCAAATTCTCTTTAAGATCAGGGAAGAGAAAATCTGTTAAAACTGTTTTAAAGAGATTTTATAGATTAAATTGGTAAAGTCAACTATTTTCAATTCTAGTCTTTAATCATTAATAAAATTGTTTCAATTAATAGACTGATTATAGGGGAATATGGATCCGTACTATAGCTGGTCGTCATAAACATCTATGGAGAAAAAGTAAAGATCGTAGAATAAGGTCTAAACAACATGTTTTTATTAATTCAACTCAGTCTTGGATGTTAGATAGAATGGTCACTAAATTTTGGAAACGACAAAAATATTATATTGATGATCCATACACACCTTATCATACACGAGAAGAATTTCTGTTTACTCAAAGAAAATGTAGAACTTTAATTAAGCAATAATTAGAAAATATTTTCTCATAAAGCTATATTCATATTATAATAAAATGTATTAGTTTTAAGATTTATTATATTATTCCGAAAAGTGTGTTGCAAATTTTTTTTTAATTAAATGCAGTAGTTATGAAACTAATAATTATTAACATTTATTTCTAGTAAAAACAATTTGAAATAAAATAAATGTATGACATTAATATATGAAAATAATTCATTTATATTATCATCTATTTTAAAATGAATAATTAAAATTATTAAATTTAAAATATATTTATATCATAAGGTATTGTTTTATAAATTATATAAAACTTATACATTCATCAATTTTTTTATATTGTAAAATAAAAAATATTTAATGAAATACCATATTTATAAAGACTAATTTTACAAATTTTCATAATGATAAAGAATGCCAATTGCATTTTAACTAAAATTTGTAAATAACTATATTTGAAGCGGTATTCAGAAAAAAAGTTAAAATTTTAAATAAACATTTAAATATGGACATATATATGAAAATATTTTTATTCTTGATTGATGAATATATCTAAATATATACTAGATTAAAATATAAATAATCAATAATATTAACTTGCAAATAATTATTTATACAATTATTTTAGTTTCAGAATACTGTTGTAAAATTAATATTAATATAAAGTCTGCAAATAAAATTAATTTTCGAAATTTGAAAGGTAAAAATAAAAACATTGAGTTAAAAATTAAAATTAAAAATTAAATTATGAGAAATGTATTTCGAAATTTGCTATCTTAATTTGTATATATTATAAGTTTATATTATATTATAACTCCCGCCTACTCTTCCTTCCATTGCAAAACAAATATTTTAGACAAACTTATATGGAACGCTCCCATTATTAGAATTGATCACTCTAAATTATATACTATAGTCTGTATTCTACTTAAATTCTTTAGCATTGATATTACTCTAAATTTTAGTTTGCCTTTATTGTTTATATTTAAATTATTATTTAAATATAATTAATTTAAAATTAATTATAAAAACAAGTGATTAACTATTCACAATATTTTCGATAGTATGAGAATTTGTTATATACATACACTTCTGTAAACAAGATAATAGAAGTTTTACGATTTAAATAGCTTACAGAATTAAAACTTATAAAATGCTGCTTAATGGAAAGCTTCATAGACGCAGTATTTTTTATTTTCACCAATTTATAAACGTAATGGATAAAAGCTATGTAATGAGTTGGATAAATTGCAGTGCTAATCAAAATTTTTCGACAAGCAAAAATTTTAATTGGAGGTTTGTTGATTTTTTTTTAATATATTCTTATTTTTAATGTTTATGAATATTTACAAAAAAAAATTCCCGGTTAAAAGTATTTACCAGAAATTCATATGCGATGATCAAACATCACTAGCTAAAAATAATCGAAAATTTACCAAATTATCAGTTTATGTATATGAATAACTATTGCATTATTATTAAATTAATAGCGTCTTCTCATTATTTATAATTTATGCTTGACTAATATCTGAAAATTTAAAACTTGACTTATGTGTGTTCAACTATTACTATAAAAGTATTACTCAAATATTCTGTACTATATTTAGACGATAGCCGCAGAGAGAGGTGCGAGGAATTGGGAGAAATTTGGTGAAACCAAATTTCCTAATTTGTAATATATATAAAATAATAGTAAACATATATTAGTATTTTATTTTACTATACTTTATAAATATATAAAACTAACAATTGATTAAATATTTTGATGAATATAAATTGGAATTTAATCACATGTCTGCAAATAACATTTCGTTTGTCTTTTAATAAATACACATTTTTAAGAAAAATTAATTTTTCATAATACATATTTTAATAAAAAAATCTAGTAATTTCATATTAATTATTATGAATAATACTGAAAATACTATTAAAAATTTATTTAGTAATGAAGTTGACCTTTTTTTACATTTTTAAAAATATTTTCTAATAACTTGAAAATACGATTGAATACTTATTAAAAGATATTTGGAAGAATTATTGATTCATTAAACAGGTGTATCTTTAAAAAGTTTAGGGTTTGTATGCGCGGTGTGCTCGATTAATATTTAATGAGGTTATGTTTATGTACTGATAAATATTTAATACATGAAATTATTTAATCAAAATTAATACATTTTTTTAACGCGTTACATTAAAAGATACAAAATAGGGCATATTATAATAAATTTCTATTTTTCTACGTATAAGAAAATAAGATAACTAACAAATATGTTAAAATGATAACAAAAGTTTTATTGATTAAAAATGTATAACATTTAATATTTTCTTGTAATTTTTATAAGTTTTTAAAAACAATCTAAATAATTCGTTTTTTGTTATAAGAATTATGTCAAAATATTTAACAAAAATTAATTAGTTAATAAAGTAGTTGAAAATACTTGTAAATTAATAGATTTTAACAAATTTATGTTAGATAATCGTTTAGATAATATTTCTAGTTTTATACTTGAGTTTAAATGTTTATAATTTAAATTAATTTTTTATTTATATAATTTACATATAATTTAAACATATAATAATATAAATGTTGATAATGTGTCATTAATCATAGATTTATTATTTATTAAAATTTTAATATTAAAAAAGAAATAATATAAAATACTTATTTTCAAATTTAGATTTATTGGATAAGTAATTTTATAGATATTTGTATTATTCCAGATTACAAAGTATTTATTTTTTCTGTAAATCTTATTATTTGTCTGTTTGTATTCTGTAAATTTATTATGTAAAAAGTGAAAGTAATTTTATTTTATTTATTGCATGATTTTAAAATGAAAATAAAAATCAATTTGATTTTTACAAAAGACAAAGGATTTGAATATTTTCAATTGGATTTTATGATTAATAATTATCACATTTGAAGATATGTAGTGAATCAATAGTATCTATTACACTATCCTATATCCTATATCTATATTAATAATATGGAAAAAAGTAATTATAACAAGAAGTTGTTCTGGACAGATTAATAAATGGAAGAATGGAAAATATAAAACTATATAAATGCTATTAGCAGTCTGTGTTATATTAAATAACGACAGAGGTGGATATTGTACAACTATATACTTACAAATATAGACAATAAATAATTAGTATTACATGGAGATGCATCGAAAGATATAATTGGAATGCATTTTTGGGAAATATTACAATCTTATTTTTATGATTAAAATGAAGATGAAAAGTGTTGGAATGTCTGTATGATAATAATTGAAAGCAGAATAAATCTTCTATTAATGTACAGTTATTTTTATTGTATTACAATATATTTGTTACACATAGTTGGTATAAGTGACTAGATTAAATTGATTGTTTATTAATAACTTAAAAGCTTTGGTACTGACTGCCAGATGCAAACAATTTATTAATGTTATCACTATTTAAATTATTTATATTTGTTAATATAAGCTCATATTTTACGTGGAGATCATGATTTTGTATCACTTTAAATTCTTGTTTATGTTAAAGTGTATTTGTTTTTTTTGTAAATAGTGATTTATTAGAGTAAAATAATGGATATTTATTGCTCAAAAATGTTGACAACTAATTTTATAAATGACACCAATAAGCTGTTATAACAAATATATATAATACAAAACAGCATAAAAAAATAATATATTAAGTATAGAATTTTCATATAATTACAAGTTAAAGTGTATAATTATTTAATAACAAATGCTGAAATTTATAGATATTTATATTAATAATATTAATGAAAGATTAATAATTTTTTTAAAAGTAATTTATTATCTAAATAAAAATTTAATAAAAATGATTATTATATATAATAATAATAATATGTTTATATTAATTATTTATATTTGTAACAGATTTCAAAATATTATACAATCAATCTTTTGTTTAATATTTGAATGTCATTCATTTAGAACTGTATAAAAATTTCTTTAAATATTTGATAAATGCCATTGAATTAATGTAGCAAGTTTACATTTAATAGATAAATTTGCTAAATCTATTTGCAATACACATTCTGTGAATTTGTTGCAACTGTCTAATTATTGTTAATAATTCAATTTTGTTATAAAATATATCAATTTATTTAATATAAAGTTATATAGTATGATTAATTTTTTTGGTCTTGTGTATACATTTTTTCTTTATTGGGTGAAAAAATTAATTGTAAAAAAATAATTGTATATTATTAATGAAAACTTACCAGACATATGCATTGTAATAAAAAGAAAATTCTAAGAAATGAATAATATAAAATAGCTACTGAATTATTTCATAAAATTTATGTTCTTTTTAGCGATGCTTTGTAAATTGTTATTTGTGAAAACTAAATTATATATTCATTATAACTTAAATTTAGGATTCAAACTTTTATTGCATGTGTAAATTTTAACAGAATAATAATTCTTAGTAGTCAGGGTTTGTTTATGAATCTTATAAGGCTAATCGCATATCTATGTATCTTGTCAACTCTGTAGCGTAATTACAATAGTTATATAATTGAATAGAAAAATTAATATATTAAAATAGTCTAATCTGTAATATATAAGATTAAAAATTACACGAGAACATCAGCATAAGGGCTTTACGAGAATTCAGGAATACACAACCAAAAAGTATTGTTTTTCAAAATTTAAAATGGTTCAAGCAGAGAAGTATGGCATTGTAATAAAATTAATTTTCATTGCATGCAGAAAAATAAATAAAGTCTTTTGACAAAAGAGATAATTCAATATTCAATATTATTTATTGCAAATATTGGTTACTCTCACCCTCTTAGTAAGGTGGATTTATTTATTATTGGGTTTAAATTTAAAAGTATATATTTACTCCTAAAATATTGAATTAATTATAATGCAAATATCTTGAAAAAATTTTAGATCAGTAAATTATGTACAATATTTTTCTTTTAATAATTCAATAGTGGTGAATTGGTATTATCAAATGACATTCTAAACTCAATAATTCTATTTAAAGATTTTGCTTGCAAAAAATATCAGTATAAATGTTTTTTTTATAAAGAATAGTTATAAAAAGTATTCTTTTCATCTATTTTAGTAATAAGTACATGTATCAAATTATTATATCATATTATCATAGCATCATGTCATCGGCTTTAATATGATAATTATAATTTAAAATAAATTAGTAAATTTAGATGTGACTTTTACATAGTTAAAAACTATAATGATTATAAATATGACGTACTAATGGCTGATAAAAATCAGTAGAAATAGTGAAAGATTTCTAATTTCTATAATAGAATTATAGAATATATATAATTTCTATAATCTATATATCATAAATAATTTATCTTGTAACTTAATGTTTCATTAAAACTTATTTTTAATATATATTAATTTTTATTTATTAATTATATTTATAAATTTATATTTATTCGTTTTAAATATATTATAAAAATATTTTATTGTTTTTTAAATATTGTATATCTATTTAAACACTTATTATTTATAGAAGTTCTATTTCATCTTAATTTCTAAAAGTTCTAGTAAATATAATGTATTAAATTAAATAATGTATTAGAAATATCTGATGATCTAAAGCTATGGATATCATTTTGCAATTTATAAATTTTACAGTGCTGACATATAAATACTTTTCATGGTATAAAAAAATATTGACAAATATAGTAGATTTAAGTACTTATATTGCATTCTATTAAAAAGAGAACTATTAAAAAATAAATTAATTATAAAACTTATAATATGTAAGAAAGTAATACAAATTTAATATTAAAGTTTTTATACCTGAAAGTTTATTCAGTTTAAAAATATCAATATATATTATATATCAATATATTTTTTAATATGTACATAGAACGATAAAAGCAACAAATTACAAAATTATTATTACATTCATTTGTGTAATATAAAGAAATTACATTTAAAAATATTTATATATATTAAGTAAATAATTTTAACATATTTTATTCTTTATATAATAATCAATGTCATTAAATAATTTTATATATTACAATAAAATTATTAATATAATATATATTAATATAAAATTATATAATAATTTTATATAATATTAGAAATATAACTTTTTAATATATTAAATTAAATTGAATTAGCTTTTATACATTTTTTGTTATTTATAAGTTTATATTTTGTATGAAAAGTTGTTTAAAAAATAAAAGACATGGTTATCATATAATTATTATAGAATATAAAATTACTTTAATACATTAAAATTTTCTCTTAATGTAAACCAAAAATTTTATTAAAATTTTTTAATTTTACTTAGTATATACTAATACTTTAATAAAAGTTAATACTACTTAAGGCCACGGAATCTGTTTTATTAAAATATAGAAGTCTTTTAATATCTCAAGAAGCATAATTATTATTGACATATAATGGAGATAGGGGCTCAACTGGTTGAAGATAATGATTTGCCAGAACATCTGTAGATAGTAAGACTACTTTTACCTTAATATTATAGCGTTATAGGGTTTATGTTTAACAGTGTCAAGTTTATACATGTAGCATTCTTAGTTTTGACTAGTTATTAGTTCAGGATACTTATAGAAGAATTACTATTATTGTAAGACTTTTTCAGTGTGTACGTTCGAATAAAAGATGCTTACCTAGATACTCGATATTTTTATGAAAGTATTTTATGTTTAGAATATGGAGAAATTAACGTTATGCTAGGCACATATATAATATCAAAGTAAAAACATTAAGCGTGAAAATGTTAGTTCACCTGTCTAGTTAATCTTTCTTATATAAAAAGATATTCACTAAGCAAGAATCAATCACATTAACAATTTCCTGTTAGAAGTAAGCATCCCCAAGTGGCTAATTATTTTCAAAAGCCCATGCAAATTTTAGATATTCGAACTCATTTTGTACTTCATTTCAGTTAAGGAAAACTCAATCATAGTATTTGAGATAAAATTTATGTTGAACTAGCATCTCTGTTCAATTATTATCAAGTTATTAAAAAATATTTTAGGGATCTGATTGGTTTAGTATCAGCAATTACTAGGAAAGATTAGAATTGAAAAATAATTATTAATAATTACTAATTACTAATAATTAAAAATCAATTGATGCTAACAGCCGTACCTTGATTGAAGCTCCTTGAACAAAATCTAATGTTTAAGATGTTTTTTAAAGTAAAATATTAACGGTCTACTAAAAATATAATATATGTTTTTTTCAAAATTATTTATTATATAAAAAACCGGTTGAAATATTATAGATTTTATCAATACTCTTATTGAGATTAAAAACGATGGAAATAGACATATTAATAATGAGAATAATTCTTAAAGTATCGAAATACAAAGATGCACCTAAAAATAGTCATGATCTATTGCAAGCTGATACTGCATACTTACTGCTATTTTTACTTGATAGTTCATTCATTACCGACTAAATGTCTGATGATCTAAAGCGCATCATAAACATATTTTGTCTATAAGGCGAAATAGCAATAGCTACATTTTTGCTGTGATATTTTCTGTTCTTTTTCCTCATTTCCTACTTGTGTATAAGCAAATCACGAGCATACTACATAAGCGACGAGATCTGTAGAAGCTTGTTTGAATATAGAGCATTTCAAACTAAATTTTAAATTATAAATTACTTTTTAAGTTAAATTTAGTATCAATAATCATTAATTACAAATTATTAAAGGCTATATTATTTTATTATTATGTTTCTAAACTTTCACATTTATTATTCATTATATATGTGTGTGTTCGAAAGTTTCTGACTCGAACTGCCAAATTCAATAGTTCAGTTTATTAGTCTCTCACCGTAGCGATGCTTAGGAAAGGACACATGTGGAAGGGTTGTAAATATGTACAGTGTGTAACTTCGTTTAGGACATCGTATATTTTGTTTTATTGACAATTACATTATTTTAGTTCTATGTGCACTTCTTGTGAGAGAAAGGGAATTATTCTATTACGATGATGTGGTGGCTCGTTGGCGATGTCGTTGATGATGTTATGGGGATCAGCAAGAAGAGTCGACCATGCTCATCACGTGAGCATGGGAAGGTGGTAGTTAGTAGTTATAGTGGTAGCTAGCAAGTATAGTCGGCCATACTCATAAGAGAGGTATAGGAGTATCTGTATGCTAGTTATACTCATTAAAGACAGATGATATACCTTTGAGTGTAGAAGGATCAGATACCACGCTTTGTGTAGTCGGCTATTTTCTAGAACGGCAGTCAGCCCTTGACGGATTGTTGTCGGTGTGCACTGGAGAAGTGAACGAGCGTTCCTTGCAATGGCTGCGTTGAGAGAGCGTGTGTTGCATGACCTTCTCCTTGTCGTAGACTCCGTGTGATAGCGTGGCTTAGGCGTAGATGACTGGCTAGGACGAGCGACTGTGAGGAATAATTGATACTGTGCACTTTATGACTACCGACACTACGTACTGAATAACTACTTTAGGTTAACTACGTAGAGTCTTGATGCGCGCTTCCTTAAGTATCAGCACGGTAACTAACTCTAGCTTGAAACAAACCTTCGGTTATTCGAGAATTCGGCGAAAGCAAACGTAATCATTCGAGGCTAAGCAACCTTCGGAAGCGATCGGGAATCGAAGCTTTCATCTATTCGAGAATTCAGCGAAAGCGAAGCCTTGGAAGATTCAAGAATTCAATCGACGTTGCTGCGCGAAGGCAAAGCAGGCTTGTAGAACGTTCGAGAATTCTGCTTTTGGATAATTGGGAAATCAATATGAGAAAATCTAAACATTCCGAGAACCGAAGGTTTCGAATAAAATGCTTCAATTCCGAACAATTAGTCTTGTTTTTTGCATTGTATACATGAAACGCTATATTAATTGTAAATTAATAATTTCTATTAATGATAGCTCATTATATTATAATATATTTGAATTTAATTTCACATTTGTTAATTTATTATATAATAATTATAAAATAATATCCTAATTTATTGTATTCATTAAAAAATATTTAAAAATTTGAAATATTATTTGAGTTACAAATACTTAAAAGTTTTAAATAATCTGTTGAATTGGCGTTATAGATTTGTTCAGTTTGTGAATAAAAAAGGTGGTTCTCAGCATTTGGGAATTCAGCTAAAGCAAGGTGGAGATATAGTGTCGATTTCTGTACTTGGCTCAGGGATACCTAACACTTTAAAGAAATTTCTAGAGGGCAGAGAAGAATTTCTAAGAAAAGCTGAGAGGTAAGAAATTTCTAGGTACCTGTTAATTGGAATGACATATTTTATAATTAAACAGATGATACACGATTTCTTTATAATATTGTAAATTATAGTAATTAAGTAAATTAAAATTCTTAACAAAAAATAGATAATTAAATTACTTTAACGTTAAACTAGACAACAGATTTTTATCAATATCTTGTTTAATTCAAAATTATAAATTATTATGAGTTATAATTTATAAATTCTTCAATTAGTTAAAATTACAAATATTTAATTTTAAAAAGTAATAATAAACATTTTAATAGTATTTTGAACTTGCAATATAATTTTAAATAGCAATATTAAATAAATAATGTTATTAAATGTTTTTTTATTTATTCTGTATGCGCATTCAATAGTTATTAAAAAATTATAAATTTTATCTTAAATTATGCAATAAATTTATCATATAATGAAAAATTGTTATTAAAAATTTATTGAAAATTAAAAACAAATATTATTAATATAAATATAATATAATAATTAATTTTAAGTGCCACGATAACATTTTTTATTCCAAGTAATAAAAATATTACTCATAAATGTGTATATGCTAAATAAATTAAATGTTACAAAATCATAATTATAACTGGAATATAATAAAGTACCATAGACAAACATCCTTAATATATGTAAAATCTGCAATTTTTTTCAGTAAAGAATCGTATATTATTTTTAAATATATTTTGTATTTTATTATTTATTATATTTATTATTTTATTACTTATTATATTTAGTATTTTATTATTATTATTTATTATATAAATAAAAAATTATAATCTAAAAAATTTGCATTAGTGTACATTTCCACCTTGGCATCAAATATGTTCCTTTCTATGTATAGGCTGCAAAACCAAACATTATACTACGAAAAGTACCCTCATTGCTACGTTAGAGCCTATAATTATATAAAGGATGTAATGCTTTCAACAAAATCACAAAAATTTAATTTTATGTGCACTTTTCTGGAAAAATGATAAAATCAATTAATTGACAATACATCATATTCTTAAGTGAACAATTATTCTAACTATAACTATATACGGTTTAAAAACAGTAATGAATATATTAGAGTTCAAAAAAAAGATTTTTTTAATATACATAATATTTGATCAATGATAACTATTTATAAAAAAATTTTATAAGTAATTTATAATTTTTAATGAATTTAAAACATTTTTTATTATTAATCATTTATAATAATGGTACATCTTTTGAATAAAAATTTAAACTTTAAATATGTTATGTCTGGGATCAGACTAAAAACCTCCCTTCGATGGTGGGTGGAGGTGTTGCTGGCAAGTGGAAGGGGCAATGCAAATATTCAATACTACTTGTAGTATTTCTTGTCTTTCTGAGGAGAGTGTATATCCTCTCCTTGGTGTGTGAAGTCGATTCAGTCGTAGTATGCGTCAGAGCCGCCGCTGTAGTACCGAAGCCGTCTAAGGGGGACCTGGTCGCTGCTTCTTTAGTTTCGTGTGTAAGAGCTGCCGCTGTCGTACCGAAGCTTCCTAAACGGGACCGGGTCTGCAGTTTAGTCGTCAGTGTGATCCGTTAATATATGTAGTATGATTCAATATTTTCACTCTCGAATTATGTTAGCACTAGCGCTTTATTAGTTTAAGTTTAGTTAACGGATTCTGATAATGTGGCTTCACTATTGAATTGTTTGATTCCTTATTGTTTGAGTATTACATACGTGTATCGTTACAGGGAGTGATGACTGTAGAGCGAAGCTTGTAGATTGAATAGTGAGTCCGTCGTGTTGACTGCGTAATTATTACTAGACTAGACTGAGACTATGACTGAGCGCTGCGTGTGAAGCGCAGCTCTTTAATATTCTCGTGGTAGTTTTAGGCGCCGGTAGCGATCCGGTGTCTGATTCTATGCCAATATTTGTCGTGACGTCAATAGAGCATAGCCTTGGAAGGTTCATTGACATTAATTTTCGGAATTATAATAGTATATTCGAGTTTTTGGCGTAGAAATATTTCTCGAGTTCGTTTGGCTAGTGTTTATAAACAACTGTTCACGCGTTCATACCTGTCCCAATATTGTATTCCGCTTTTCAACTGTTTCAATCCGTAACATGTTACTTTTAAGAAAAATTAAAATTATAAATAAATAAAAAATTCTTTAAAACACAAATATGTATGTAAAATACTGTTAATGGTTTTATAAGTAATATTAAAAAGAAAAGATTAAAAAACATTTTAGTTATTCTTTTTTAATTATATTCATATTTTTATATACTTCTAAATACAGGATAATACGATATAATAAATAAATTAAAAGTCTTATAACCATAAATTATTTTTTATCAATGTCGAAGAAAGTGATTTTTGTTTGTTTTTAACGAAATTCGTATATTCAAGTAAGCATTTCTTAATAGATACGTACTGTAACTTTTTAATCTGATTTTAAAATATTTTAATTTATTTATCAATAAATATTTATATAATAAATATTAATATTATTAGTCAAATTTAATTTTTAAAAGTTACAAATTAAAAATTATAGATTTTAGTATACATTTATTTGAATTTTTTATCTCTTTGGATATGTTTGAAATAATTGAATTATATATAATCTAATTTTTCATTTTTGAAATAATGTTTCATAAATAATATCTATTTATTAAAATAAATATTTATTTATTCAAAATGTTTAAATGTATTATAGTTTTAATTATTTTTGAAAATAAATTGAGAAAGAATTTTATTTTTCATACTAAAATATAAAAATATTTTATATATTAAAATACTTTGATTTTATTTATTTTGATTCCTACTTTACCATGTATAATGTATAATAATTTTTCAAATTAAAATGATTTATTTTATTCAATGTTATCGGTAGAACTATAAAAAGTGAAAAATTTGAAATACTATGGAAATTATTGTACACAACATATTTAATATAATTTTTCTGATAATATGCATGTTAAATGTTATTTATATTTGTTGTTTTTATTATGATGCGATATTAAAATAAACTGAAAAAATTATATATATATATAATATCGGGCCAAGATTTATGCCGTTTAATGTCCCTCGTCATAATGATTAATATATAAATTATTAATTTCATATTTAATATTTGTTGAATAATTACTATGTGTATTTTGATTAAATTTATTTTTATAAAATTTTTAGTAATTAAAAAAACCTATCTTATTTAAAAACTTTTCAGAATAGTGACTGAAGGTCGGAGTATTATTCCTGAAAATAGTGTTGTATTCTTACCACCGGTCACAGAAATGGATAAAGTAGTTTGTATTGGCTTAAATTACAAAAAACATTGTAAAGAACAAAACGTTGATCCACCATCAAAACCTGTAATTTTTAGCAAATTTCCTAGTAATATTATTGGACCTTATGACAACATTCACTTACCAAATATATCTGATGTAAGTTTAATTTTGAAAGAATGTATATATAATACTTTGAATGTAGTTTTTTTATTTATATTTATTATTCACTATATTTTATTAATGCATAATAAAAAGAGTTGTCAGTACAATTATAAATAAAATAAAATTTTTATCATATTTTATTATTAAAAAAAAAAATGAAACGAGTACAGTATTAATAAGTTTTAGAATATCTATGAGTTCATCATTTTAGTTAACACAAAACAATATTTGATTACTATAAAAAATTCATACTGAGAAATATGCTAGAAAGTTAGAAGTCAGAAGTTTTTTATTTCTTATATCATTTTTTTATTAAAAAAAATTAAAGCACTAGCTTTTTTTATTTTCTTTATTTATGTGTTTATTTTTGTTTTAATATTTTATAATAATTTATTATAATTACGACAAATATTAATAGTAGTTTATAGGAATTGGGCGATTTACTGACTTATTGATGATTCATTGCAAATTATAACTAGAAGGAAATTTCGTTAAAGGACTCACCTTACTCTTTTTTCTTCGCAATTCAACAGTTTTTTATCTTATATAAAATTTTATATAAAATATATAGATAACGAGAGAGTTTAACGTTGGTCTAAATCCAATACCAAGATTAATAAAACTGTCAGAGGCCTACTTTGATAGAGGCCTTATTTGATAGTAATTACTACTCTTTTATTATATGTCGATTTTTCTTAAATGGCTTTTTTTTGTATTTTTGCGTCAGTAATATCGACAAATTTTATTATCATTAATTATATTGTGTCTTTAGTAAATTGTGAAATATTTTTACGTTAAAAAATATATAGGGGAAGAATCATTTAAAATAATCGTAACATGTATAGTTTCAACAGTAAGACAAGGTAACGTAACGTAATATTTCCTGGGTTAATATTTATGTTTGTTTATATTTTTAGAAAAACAGACTAGGTCATAAAAAATGACGATACAGTATCGCTGGTATTAGATTTCAGTGAAACCAAATTATAACTCTCAATTCACATGCCCTAACCATTTAAAAATATGAAAAAAATATAATATGAATGGAAACAAATTTTTTTAACTTTCTTCTATTATATCTACTTATATCTATGCTATCGATATAAGGATTTTGCATAGGTAGATCGAAATGAATCTTATGCTTTCAGGAATGTATTAGTATGTTCGTTTTTAATTCACATTCAATGGAAATAATACATTATATAAAACAAATTTATTTAAAACGATAAACGATTAAAATAATTTTTTTTTCAATAAAAATCGATAGTGGTCTATATATTGATTTTAGTAAAATAATTTCAAAATGTTTATCTCATTTAGATTTTTTATTTAATGTTTAAACCTAAGAAATTAATTATAACTGTGATATTTTATTAACATAAATAAAATATTTTATTGTTTAAGTTTTCTTTTTATATTTATAAATAATTTAAAAATAAATCTTTACCAGAAAGTCGATTGGGAGGCAGAACTGGCGATCGTCATTGGTAAAAAGTGCAAGGATTTAAATAATCATGAAGCCATCAACTATATTTTTGGATATACAGTCGCACAAGATTTATCTGCGCGTGATTGGCAAAAGGGGAAACGCAATGGTGGTCAATTTCTACTGGGTAAAGCTATGGATAATTTTTGTCCATTGGGGCCAGTCGTCGTTGCTAAGGAGTTCATTGCCGATGTTAAGAATCTTACTGTTAAGACTTGGGTTAACGGTGAGCTTAAGCAAGATGGTAGTACGTCGGAATTCATCTTTAAAATCAACGACATCGTCGCATATCTTTCTCAGTTGGTGTCCTTAATGTTTTTTTTTCCTGTCAATTTTTTTCAGCAAAAATCATCGAAAAATGTAAACAAGTCGGTGAAGTAAACTATAATTTTGATCTTGTAATAAATATAAAAAAGTATTCTGAAAACAATTATATGCAACTAATAAAGTTTTTATAATACATAAATAAATAATGGCAATAAAAAACTCTTTGTAAAGCCTAGTTTATATTAATTAAAAAAATTTTCTTATTATATTTTATATATTTTATATTTAATGAATTATTAATTTCATTATCATTATTTTTATTTTTATATTTAGTAATATCATAAATATAGATATAATAAAAGTTAAAATAAAAATTTTTTATTTAATTAAATGAAAATATGGAATTGTGATTCACATTTTAAAATAAATATATGTAAAACAAATATGTTTTATATACGTTATAAATGTTTTATATTTTATTGATGATATATTTTTAATTTTTCTAGATTTATGACTTTACTACCAGGTGATATAATTTTAACTGGGACTCCGTCTGGAGTTGGTTTTACACGAAATCCACCAGAATATTTAAAGGTTTGATGAACTATATATTTGTCTGAAATAATAAAAATTACTGCATAATTTTAACTAAAAAATTATAGATCTTTATATATTTATTTTACATGTTTTAGAAGATACATAAACTAAATTTATAAATATTTTTCAGAAAGGAGATGTTTTGGAAACAGAAATCGAAACTATTGGACGTTTGAAGAATAAATGCGTTTGATGTTTTGTAAAAAAAATTCAAAGTTAAGGAGAGGTTGCAGTTGGTACCAGAAATTAGAAATATATATTTATAGATATTTAAGAAAATTAGAAAAACTAAGTAATATAAAAACTAGCATATTAAATAATTTAATTCTTTAAAATAATAAAATATAACATGAGTTGTAGTTAATATCAATCTCTAAAAAGATTATAAAATTTCTCAAATTTTCATTATTTTCTCACAATTAATTTAATGATTCAAAGTAAATTTATAGTTATTTATATCATAATTGAATATGTAGTTATTTCCTATTGATTATATTTACTTTAATAATATAACTTTAATATTTATAATATGATTTATCTATATGTTAGTATAATTAGTCTATATCAGTTAAAAGTTTAATAATTATGTGACAAGTACTTAGTGTATTATAATGAATAATTTATGATTTCTAAATTCCTAAATAAAATAAAACAATTGTTTAAAATAATATACAAAATTCATTACATCAATTCTATATTATTTCTTTACTTTTCTCTTTTGAAGAGAGCTATTTATAAATTAGTATTTATCAAATATTAACCATATATATTGAATTAATTACATAGCAATTCAATTCTATATTAATAAATAAAAAATGTCTGTTCAATCAAAATTATTCAAAATTTGATGTATAAAATTCTAAAAGAATGTAATTATTCAAAATTAAAATACTAGTAGAATTGTAGTTTGAATAATATTCTTTGTTAATGATAAAAAAATTTTGTTTTACGTAAAAAATAAACGATTATTTAATTTTGTACCCATAACATCAGAATATTTTATAATCTTCATATATAATAAATTATATTCATAGATTAGAATTATGTATATTATAATGTAAATTGATAATATCATGTATTATAAATTAAAATCTACATTAACCACTAATTGATTAATATGTAAAAAAATGTAAATTGCTGTCTGCATAAGAGAAGATTTAATAAAAGTATATATATAGATATATAGCCAATTCAATATAATAACGATTTATATTTTACTAGTAATTTATTTTGATTTTACCATATTTGTTAAATAAACCAAATTAACCTGTATATTATTAAATTGAAGCGTATTTCTTTGAAATATACTTGATTTTACTACCACATGAATTATAATATTCAGAATTAAATATATAATGGACTAGATCAGGAATAAAATTATTGTCTTATTATATTAGTCATTTTAATTGTATGAAGTCAATATAAATTCTATTGTATTTATAAGAAATTTTATTCAATTCCATTATAATTATATTATTTAACATCCCACGCATTAGACACATTTTAAATTAATTTAGAATTTATTAAATTTTACTTGGTTGCGTTATTCTCACGAAAATATAATGAAATTGTAATGAATAAGTTAAATTTAACATTCTGAATAATGCGTATTTATTATTAAATAATTAATGCAATTAAAATATAAGAGATACATTTATAAAATATGCAAATATTTTTTTTCTAATTATCTTTTGACTTGTAAATAGAACCTGAATTAATGTAGAATATCGTTGCATTTATTGTACACACAATTTATAATAAATATATACAATATTAAACAAATAAAATTTTTTTTTAGTTTTTATTATTAATTTAAACAAAGATTTAGATAAGTTAAAATAGTTGTAAATATTGACATTAATTATTAATTAATTTTGTAAGTTTCAAATTGCTTTTGTACATTATTTTATTATCATGTAGTCAAAAAACATTGAATTGTAAGTAATTATATTTTGTATAATATATTTTCTTTTTTCTGTTTGTAAAATTCTTTAATATATTTGAGTCAAAGTTTTGTGTAAAGTTACTTAGTGTGTTAACTATATAGTAATTAAAAATATGAATACTATGAATGTTTTATGATTTACAATGTTTATTACAGTAAATGCTATATTTAGTTGGTTAGTATATTCCAAAAGATTGGGTTGATATGTTAAACAGTTTTATTAATGTTATTTACTTAAAGTAAATTTATTAACTTTTAATTACTTTTATTTTTTACTACATTGTAATCTACCTATTTATATCAAGTGATACATACATTCTCAAAAAGTTTAAAGCATTTATTCTTTTATTCGTTAACATTTTTTTTATGAATATCATTTAGCTGTATTATAATTTATAAACGTTGTTGATTGAATATTTAATCAAATATATTTTAAAACGAAAGTTATTGAAATGTTCTTCAAGTTTGAAATTATTTATTACATTTGTATTTTATTTGTATTATTGCATTTTAACTTATATGCAGTTTTGATGATATAGATATCTATTTTTTAATAGTTTGATAAATCAAAAAACAAAACAACAATACAAATATAAATTAGAAATTTAATAATTATTATAAAGTTTAAATATCAGGGTTTTGTTATAAAGTGCATCATATTTATGGATATAAGCAATATTATTGCTGTCACTAATAATATTATATACAACTTAAAATAGTCAAAACTGTTGTATTTAACTGGAAGTGAAAGAAAGAATTAATATTATCACTTATTTTTTATGTTTGTCAATTATATCTTTTTGTCATTTTCTTGCCAACGAATGACAAAAGAGTGGTTTGTGCCTCCACCTCTAAGTTCCCATACAATTTATAAGAGCTAATATTTTATAAGTCAATAATTTAATAAAAAATAGATGAACTTTAAAACGCTTCGTATTATTTAAATAATAATTAAAAAATAGATTTTTTATACTTTTTTTCTTTAACTTTTGTCACGAATTAAAATTATTATGCAAACCTATAAATACTTTTACATCTTTCTAAATTCTTTTCTCGTAAGCACATATTTAATTTTATAATATATATTACTATATATTAATTACATATTACATTTAAATTCTATTTTATAAAATTAATTTTTACAGTTTTTAATTAATATTGAAAAGAATTAATGCAAATTAATAATTTACATTTAGTTATAATTTATGAATCAAGCAAATATGTTTCTATATTTTTGAAATTATTGCATAATAATATAATTTTAAAAAATGCAAATATAAGTGTTACATGTTTTTAGTCTATCTTGTATAATGCTTTGCTAGTTTCTATTTTGATAATACTTATATCAAGATAATAAAATGTTTAAATATTAATACATCTCTTAAACTACAAAATAAAAAAAAAATATTTTCATATAAAATAGGACTCATTTCAATTACATTAATTATAAAAAAAAAAAATTCATAAAAATTTGTTATTAAAGAACTTATAATTATCTAATTTTTCTATAATTCAAATTTTAAATAATTATTTAAAAATTAATAATAAATATTTAAATTAATGTTAAATACCTTGATTAAAGATAAATTAATTTACTGAATTAATTTCACTTAGTTACAATAGAATAATATGAAAAAGTATAGGGAAATTTAATGGTTTAAAAGCTGAAATAAATTAATAGTTAATTAATGATTTATTGGATTAAACAAATAGCATAAAAAACAATTTAATAATTAAGAAGAAATGTTGTTTATCTTATGAAATAACTTTCGTACAAGTTATTAGAATACAATTACAATACAGTTGAGAGTGTTAATATACACAATATAATAAAGTTATCTATTAATAAATGAATTGTTTTGAATAACGTCTGTCTATACTAATCTATAAATGAGTTCCTGAGGCAAGTCGTCTTTTTATATTATGAAGGTATGAAATAAGGTATAAATCCAAAATTACATTAGAAAATGTAAATAAATGAAAAACTGTACCAGTAATTGTACAATTAATGGTAAAATTTTGATAAAGCGAAAATGGAATTCTTTAATTCAAGGTATCGTTCAATTTAATTTTTAAATATCAACATTAAAGTAATTAAAAACTATGTATATTAAAATATTGTATGCATAAAAATAAGATAATAAAAGATAAGATTGTATAATATTGAAATTGAGAAAAGTATGATTCAATTAAAGAATTCGTATTATCAACTTTATGAATTGAAATTGCAATAAAAATATCGTTATGTGCTGTAATTTCATATGTATACATGGTCATTATAAAATAAAGATATTGATACATTGTACACATTTTTATATTTAAATAAATTTAATGTTTAAACCAATTATATTTCCATATTTATTTCAACTAAATTTATAGTATAACTTTTGTTCACTTGCTAAACTTACTGATAATAGTAATAATTTTATTTTTTTAAGAATGAATAAATATTTCAAATATAGAAGTTCGCTGTGATAAAAATTATTTATTCATTTGTTAATAATTTTCTTGTAAATATAAATACGAGGAATTCATAATTTAAATTAAATAAAATTAGAAAATTAGAATATTGAACGAATTAATATTATTATTATGTAAAAAGCAATGAATAGTATAACTAATATATTCGAAAATGATGTTATTTTCTGGCTCGGATTGCCAGTGTTTCGATAGCTTTAATAATTTGCCACCCGCTTTAGCAGATGCTTGAATGCGAATCAAGTGGAAGGGTTATATAGAGGTGTATTATGGGCAAACTTCTGTAACATATAATTTATGAACAATTACATTTATAATATGCATGGTTCACTTTGATGTAGTGGTCGTGATGTTGTTGCTGTTATTGATATTAGCAAAAGATGTTGAATGTTGGGTGTATGCTGATGTTGTAAGGATCAGCATAAGTAGTCGACCATGCTCATGAGATAAGCATGGGAAGATGGTAACGGTAATTAGTAGTGCTTAGCAGGAAGAGTAAACTATACTCAAACTTTAGAGGATACTAAAGTCTTTGTGGTAGTTTTCACGTAATCAATCATGCCTCTAGTGAGGACGGGAGTAGTTGAAAGCTAATCACACGCAGAAACAATAAATGATAAGCCTCCTACTTCGGAAGAACTTGATAAAATGTAGTTATAGTCGATTATTTGATAAACTATAGTCTGGCCTTGACGATGTAATTGAATGTATTTGGTGCTTGATAGCCTGCGAAAGCGCATTGCATCACCTGTCGACTATTTCAGCAAACTTTATATGAAACGTAATTCACGCGTGGGTGAATAGCTTGTACAAATAATAAAATGAATGTA